AAATTAAAAAAAAAATCAGAATAACTTCAAGCCCAGCAAAAATAACTATATTAATCAAAAACGCAATAGAAAGAACAGTTATTCCAATTATTGAATAAAAACACAGTGATATAAAACAAGAAGAGCACGAACAACTAACAACTAACATAATGCTAAAGGCCACATCTCTGGCACCCTTCTTAAATTACCGGACAATTTTTGCTTCCTAATACCATAGCTTTAAAATTTACATGTATAATGTTTTGTATAATTATTACCATCAATTAAAAAAAACTTAATGACTTTTTACTTTCTTCATTGTTTATCAAATCATATAAAAACTATCAACATATTCATATGACAAATGTATAATTTATATCCGGATTGATAAAAAGCTTTGATATGTCTATGAATAAATTGATAATTTTCATTTTAACGTAAAAAAATATAGGTATGAATTAACGGCACACGGACATGCTCATAGGCAAAATGAGTAGCATAATTTGTTGATAGTCTAGTTTAAGATTTCTATAGCTAAACTAAGAAATAACTTCTAGCATAAGATTTTACCTAAATAATCAAATAATTATTTCAATCTTTTCATAAATAAAAAGTTAACGTGAATCATGGAAAAAAATATTAACTAAATTATCTTATATTTTGTTATCAGACACCTAAATTATATATCTTTCATAGACACATAAAGTATGTGTAATGAAATGGATAGGTAATTGAGATGTGTATACCATGCATGTCGTTTTGTAAAATGGCATCATTATGTTGGTATTTAATCATACCTGAGAGTGTATCCGTATAGACTTGTCAAGGTAAAAATGCTTACATGTACTACATGTAAGTGGTTTGATAAATACGTTGTTCATCACTTTGCAATAAAATCGACAAAGAAAATAACAAAGAAAAAAACCTATATATTTAGCCTTTTTGGACAATCCGTAAAGGTTTAATTATTATTAACATTGTAATTGTTGTTGTTGTTTTTTTCGAAAATAAAAGATTGTTCAACGATTGCTAATGAATGAGAAGAAAAGTATAAGAGTTTGCAATAATATGGCAATATGTATACATTTACGTCAAATATTTAGTTGAAACGAATTATTAGTATAAAAGTGTTTACTTACATCACGCTTTTACTAAAGATCTATTTTAATGAGGATCTGTGTAATTTGTAAAGGAATATTGGCTGTGTATAGTTCGTTTAGTACGAAAGAAGAGTGTCTAAAAAAACTCCTACAATTGAGCCAATCATACAGAATAAGCCTACTAAGCCTAATTTGACAGAAATTTCAAAAAACCTAAGTACTACTCGATGTAATGTTTATACTTGCAATATCGCTAGAAATTACAACGCTGCATGTTACATAAATTTGTAAAATTTTCAGGCACAATACGCTTATGTGCTGGCCGTGGAAAAGACAGTTTCATTCGGAATACTTGAATATTTCAAAAGGTATTGCTTCCGAACACAGCTCGGTATGGACATCTTATCGATGAATCCAGAGATGGTATGCGATAGACATCCATTGCAAACGAGAGTAAATCGAATATAATAATAATTGAAAATCAGGTCTTATAGTTTAATGAACGACATAATTATTCCTAGGGGTAAATTTGTACCTGAATGCCATCGACTAAAAAGCATTAACCTCGTTTACAAATCGGCAGATAAATCAAAACCGTTTTCCGTATAACAGAAACAAGTCAAATGGATTTGCTTTGAAAGAAAGATGTCAATCCATTATTCATATACACTCTGTAAAAAGGCATTATGTTTTCATAACGACAGTCGTCTATTTTAATGTGCTGTTCTATATTTTGAAATCAAATGAATTCTTTCAAGATACAGCTTTCAGAAATCTGGTGTTTTTATTCAAATGCTATTGATCTTAGATGAAGTAATAATGAAGTGACTTAAAATTTAGCCTTTTCATTTTCATGGTAAAACTGAATAACTGAAGACGCCATTCGTGATAAATGCATGTATATTTAAAAGTAAAAACTTGTTTCTTTTAAATGATGACTCTTGACGTTTCCTCATTTTTTCTTATCTTACCAAGTATAAACACGTTTGAAGTCTTCAGTTATAGAAGTGGACAGGGTTGCACTAAATCAAAATATTATATTAGAAATAAATACAAAAACAACAACAACTACGACCCCTTTCCCGCAAAAAAGAAAAATAAACAGATTTAGTATAAAATGAAACTGATATAAACTGTCACCCAATATCTTAAACGTAATTATGGTTCATTCACACTTCTATTTTGGAATGTTTACTGTTTTGATTGCATATATTGTTGCAAAGATATCCATCAAAATCATATCAATTACAATACCTAGTGTGTTTATCATTGAAATTGCCAGCCGTTATTTATTGTCTGAAACAAGAGAATGATTTCAACAACACTAAAGTTGTATAATGCAGAATTGTTGCTTATTTAGGTTTTTTGGATGTTGTCTATTGTAAACCATAAAGTCACATCGTACGCAGATATAATGTAGAAAATATATTATTACAATCGTTGCCAAGCAACATAAATCCAATTTAAGCCATATACACCTGAGCGCAATACTTCTGTGGTAATATCGTCGAATATTGTCTTATATAACTGTGACATAAGACAATAAATAGCTTTTAAAACATAGCAAACAATGAAATCTGTAATCGACCACTTCACAGTCATTTTGGCACGATAGTTTTTCAACGCTGTAATTCAACAAAATTGTTTAAATAGTAAAACATTTTTACGCATTAAATCATATACTAGACTAAGACTTATGCAATCTGCATTTTTCCTCTATGCTCTAGTTTGTTAAACATTTCCATGCTGTTGGCAACCGAGTCAAATATTTCGATCAGTTTAGACCAAAATCAGTCGGTAGGTTCGAGTATCTGATCACATCCGTGCGTCTGATCATACACGATGTCATAGTCTGCATATGATTGCTATTCAGTCAGTACATATTTTGAAATGTCTTATACCAATATTAAAAAATGGTTATGAGCAGACGAAATGATGGACATGTCAGTTATAAATGTTTCGCGTGGTTAGGGTTAATTGAGAATTATACATTGAAACTGAAAACTGTTTCTTTAAAACAAATATGATACTTTTTGATATCCGGAAATCAGGAAAAAAGAACACTTAATATTTTAAGCCTAGACAAGATGTTTATTGAAGTTAAAGTTTACATCTACTTTTCATTCAGAATAAGAAAATGATCTAGATTAGGAACAAATGGACTTTTTACAGGCTTCTCTTCAAAGATAATGATTTCATATTGTTCATATTGGTTGATACAGAGCAGTTATGATTTATTGTTTCATGTATATAGATGTATCATTCATAAAAAAATAATATAGTTATAACTAAAAAATGAATCTTCATTGAGATGGTGCATTTTTATTAAACATTCAAGTGTAATATGTAATTGGTGCATTAAAAGTATCAAAATATTTAGATATAATCTAGTTATTATGTTTATTCTTTGGACACTATATTTGTCAAGAATGTAGGATAAGTATAATTTTACATTTTTAAAAGTCTCGACCTCGGTAAACTTGTCCTAATCGGACAAAATCGGTAAATGTTTATATGTACGACATGTCGCAAAATAATTCGTGTCATTCTGCAGTAATCAATGCATTTCATTTAAATCAATATCAATTTGTAAAAAAGCGCAATCAATATATATATAGTATGTATATATATTATGAGCATTTGATTATCAACGAGATCCTAAACTCAAAATGTTTATAATGGTATAATCCTACCCTCGGTTGATTTAAAATTACTATCGCAGATACTATCTTCTGTAATTTATAGATAAGTACATCAAGTCTGTTTACAGAAAACTTATTTATGAACTGAATCAATAACTCATTTTATCTTTCTCCAACCAGGAGTTTAATATTAAACATAACTTCTTCTAAGATATATCAACAAAATAAATTATCAAAATAAAGCGCTAAATGAAGATTAATATGTCTTGTTCACCATTTCCGCCTTTCTCGTATTATACTTTACAAAGAATCAATAAAATTATATAATTTAATCTTTAATCTTACATATGACATTTATAAATTGCTACGAGAACTGTGTTTAAGTGACAAATAACTGCATATCTGTGACATGCAGGCTACATAACCTCACGCCGACCTTCTGAAATTCCATTTGCAAGCTTCGCCCATTATTTTATCGTTTACGGCACTCGCATCCATTAATTTTTTGATAATATGCGCTTTTCATGAAATAACGTGTCACATTTAACGTCCATGATAACTGCCCTATGAGAACATCTGCAGATAATGTTCACCATTTCATGTTAAATGTGAAATCCTGCTTGAGTCGATGCTAGTGGGCGGTAGCTTGCACTTAAATTTTTAACAACTGTTTGAATCTTTTTTCTGCCAATTATTTCAATTTATTTTTTACATTATCTTATTGATAATTGTTCACGAAACTGATTTCCTGCCTTTTTGTTAATTTGAATATGATATTGTCCGTCAGTGTATGACAAAAGGTGACACATTCAGCAAACGAACCTTGATGATGTTGTATTGAAAAGTTGCATACATTCTATTAAGGTTTAAGCGTCGTTTACAATATATTTCGATTGTTGCCTGGCAACTAAAACTAATTAATGTTTTAACACCTAAGAATTACTCTATTATTGTTACTTTGGCTCATGTTTCTTATGTAAATGCAATGCAATTTCCCAGATAACATTCGGTAAATTACTATACGGGAATGCTCGTGATAATGTAATAATAATCTTTGCTTATTTATTTTTAAGTAAATTTCATGATGTAAAGCCACTGATAGTGTAAGTTTCCATATACAGGACGAGCGTTTGACATAACACCCGTTCATTAGTTAAAACTTAAAATCCCAGCAACTATATTATCTATTTCAACTTTAATAAGTAATTCTACTCCTTGCTTTTTTCGCTTTCTTGTAGTTGGGTAATAGTGACTGTGTATGTTGTATGGAAATCAAAATATTTTTTTTTACATTTTGCTACCTTTATTATATGTCAAATTCAATGCTACATTATTTAGGATATAAGCACCTAGCATGCTCTTGTTTAATTATTACAATATCAGAAAACAAATTCGGAAAACATGTTTGAGTTTGTGATTCGTAATGTGCTTTTTAAATCTTACTTCACTGACAAAAAGATGACAGGGTATCAGATGTATGTGTTGTTTATTGTTTCTACTGTAATTGGAGTGAATGATGCGTATTATTTAGTACGATTGGACAGTGGACGCAGGGTAAAATATTGTGTTAAATTTCTTATTTCGATAATATCACTACAATATTGTCGGGACTATTATAAAAATAGAAAAACTATTTTTAATGACATATTAGTTAAAAGTGCTTAATATATCATAGAATTTTGACCCACGTTGCCAACGCTTTCTATATTTAATCAATAACAGAATACAACATTATCGATCTGTTAACACATTTATGGGAATCAGAAATTGTTTTTGTGACAGAAACACAATAACGGCTATTGAAAGATTTTAGCATCTGCTTGATTATTGATATTCTCAATATAAAATATTCTTATATTTAAATGAAGTGAAAGGATTATATAATTATACAAGTAAAGAAATAAACATATTCAATTTGTTAAAGTTAAATAAATGTTGCACTCTCTCAAAAAACCTTTATGAAAGAAACATGTTTCTATATCATTTATATAAGAACAAATGATGCTTGCATAAAATCATTGCAAAACGATAAAACCATGTTAAACATAGTAATATAATATCTTGTTCTTGAACATTTTTTTCTCTAAAACGGTGTTGTTTCTTTCTTCAAAGAAAAGACCAAATTAATTGTACCATATCTTCATAGAAAATGCAGCTTCACAAACATAGTGGTTGTTTCCCTTACTCAAATTACACTATCAAAGTTATAATATCCTCGAATTTAATAAATTTGTGAAATAATTTTTTTTTATCAAATGATGAAGTTATTATTTTATAATTATTTTTTTGTAGTTAGTTACATAGGTATGAAGTTTCGTCGAACATGCTAATAGACACACATGTGTAGTCTCAAGAAATGTGTTAGGAAAATAGGAATTGTATAACGATATAAATAAAGGAGGTTTTAAGTCTAGGTTGTAAATTAAATATTGTACTTATTTGATTTTTCAACACGAAAAAAGACGTGGATCATGCAAAACAATGGATAACATTGTTATCTGATTATACTTTTAAAAGACGTTTAAATACAATTTTCCTTAACCCCTAATGTGAATCGTTATCATTACATATGAGATATGAGATAAAATACTTTAATAGCAAATTGAGGTTTATCTACTCTAAATTGATAAAACTGTAATAAGGATGGTAGTCAAATAAGAGTTTATCGGTATGTGAAATAAAACTGCTAACTAAATGGGTTAAAAAGATAAGTATTGCAGTTAACCGAATTAAACTTAAAATGTATCCTTTTGTTAAGCCCTTTGTAACATGGCTTTTTTTACTAGTATTTCACCTTCTTCAAAGTTAATAAAGAATCTTGTAATGAAACTAATTTCAAACAATGATTAAATGAAATAATGCAGTTTTTTAAACGTGTATAAAACATAATATATTGCTTACAAGAAAACTTTTTTTCAACTAACATATCTGACGTTTTAGTTCAAGAAAACAAAACTGATCGTTTGTCATTATGATTTTAAATACATTACAAGCAAGAATATTTAATTTTTATGACAGACAGTTAAACATATTTTGTTGGGAGAATGTATTCGGGAATTTTGTTTTAGCTAAACATGTCTATGTCTTACATAACTTAAGTTGACAATAGCACAATGTAACCTTTAATGGAAAAATGAAAAAAAAAAAAACATACTACACATTTATCGAAAAAAGTTAACTTAAAAGAGTTAACTTGTCAGTCAAATAATAGTAAATTAAAAAAAAACAACAAAAAAAAACACACACAAAAGCACATGTCTTAGCCTTATCAATATATTTTATCGTAAAAACAATTATTTTACCAAATTCGTTGTACTTACGAAACTAATTACACATTCAAATATCTTAACAGGCTGTCTCGAGATGGGTTTATGAAAGTGATGATTTTAAATAAACGGTAAGCAATGTTTGCAATATTGTATTTTAGAATTGAATGCTTAATGGTCCCTTTAATTAAAACAAGAAATCAATCAAAACAAAATTTACTAAACACAGATTAATGGCGCCGTCTTAGACGACTCGAATGATTCATAAAAGAATGATGTCTTTTTATGAAAATTCTTGAAAATGTTTCCTTACAATAACCCCTAAATTGAGCATTACAAAATGAATAGATAAAAGGGTTTACCGCACTCGATAATAGATATGATCTCAAAAACAAATGAAAGGCTGTAAGCCCAGACTTTGACATTCCGCGTACAAAATTACTGTTTGATTGTCTTATAATAACAAGAACATAAAAAGGCATAAAACTTATCACGAAAGCAATTGTTATAAAGAATAACATCAAAGTTGACCGACCTATTCTCACAGTCAAACAGTTAACACACTTCGCTCTCCCAGATGCATTTAAGGTTGACGACCCACGCACAAGCAAATACCTCACCCTTCTTCTCTTTTTCTTTTCCTTAACTTTTTGAATTTTACGCTTGGGTGATGGCGCTTTTTTAGGTTCCGGTAATTCGTTTACCTTTAAACCTTCGAGTGAATGTTCACTAGTGGCGCGCGTTATTTCAGAAAGGTTAAAATCTGATCCAAGTTGACCTCCTTGCTGATATGGTATATCTAAAAGTCCACAACTGGTCCCAACGTCTTTACACGGCGGCGGTAAACCCAACTGATATGGTTTCAATTCGTTTTCATCATCATCGTTTTGAACGACAGATTCTGCTTTTACAACAACCACTACCTTATCGTGAGCACAATCTTCTTCTTCGACATTGTTTAACTCATTGTTAGACGATTTAAGTTTTTCACCGTTGGACTTTTCAGATTTGGCAGTAATAGTCTTTTCATCGACAATCTGTTGAACATGCGTGCAGTTCTTGAGCTTAAACCGCCTATGTCTGTAAATTTGTAACCCTACAAGATAATACAATATAATCAATATCACAAATGTTAACATTGTAGTAGTTATCATAAAGCTGAAATATATAAGCGGGTATGGAGACGAATCATATTCATTCTGTAAAAGGCAGGATGATCCAGTAACATTTCCCAGTTTTACTCTTCTGGTACCGTACAAAAACAATGACGGCCAGGTGGTTGCCATAGAAAAGAGTATAGCTCCTATTGAAATATATCTTGATTGTGCCTCACTAAAAGCTCGTTGATACGGTCTACAAATCCGTTTAAACCTGTCAGCTGCAATGCCGACAAGAACAAGAGCCGAAGCGCTGTTCATAACATACGTTGAAAACCTAGACAGTTTACAAAGTAGAGGCTGATCTAAATTCACTGAATATCTCATCAAGTATATTTCCATTGGCAGAGTTGTGGAACAATTCAAAGTATCAAGAGCTGCAAGAAAAAGAATAAATATCCTTGAAGTACTTCTGCGCCATTTAAAGAAATATATATAAAATACTGTTATGTTTCCCGGAAGTCCTAGAATCATCATAACTGACGTGTACACGACGGCCGGTATCTTCGTAAGGAATATTTCGTTGTTGATTGTTTCCAGGAAATCATCATCATTAGTTTTACTGACATTAAGTGACACATTCCGCGAAATATCGATGGCTTCACCTGATCCTATGTAACGCGACTCCATACCTTGCCTACTCCTTTAAAGTTCTGAAATAAATTTGTTTAATCCATGTATCATTATTTCCAAACGATTATCACTCTTTCATGATCACAAAACGGCACATTAACGGAAATAACTTTGAAATTCGAGATCACGTCGAACAGTTTTCAAGCAGACAATTGCGCAATTTATCTACACTCCGTTCAATCATTCGAGACTATTCGAAAATGATACAATCACGACGAGCATTTTCGTTAAAGACCTGTGTTAATCTTACCATATGTATGACTCTTATTCCAGACGAATGCTAGAACAATCTGTTTAAACCCATATAATTGTCCCCCTGAGGAGCAAAAACGTAAATTATGGTATGTGAGTTTCGTAACTGCTCGTAAAGTCTTGGAGATTTGATATAACAAGATTTGTCAGCATTATTTGATATTTCCCTTGAGCAATCGCCGTCTACAATAAGCTATTGAATGGGACAGTTTTTTATCCGATGAGAGATCAAACGTTCGTATCTTCAGATGATCAAGATGATTGTTCTTTGGGAAAAGTGATGCTTACTTACATAATATTATGATACTTATGACGTCTTGCACAGTTAACATATTCTCGTTGTTGTTGTTGTTGTTGTTTTTATAATCACACAATTGTTACCTTTTTTTTATGCCAATGTTTTAACTTTTCCTTTAGCAAAATGTTAGATTAATTATGTTAAATATTAACATTTTACCGTGTCTGGCATGTCGTGATTTGATTTCCGAAGAGATATTTTTCTAATTACAAATTTAATCCGTAACAATGTACAAATTCAAAAAAAAATCACAAGCATTTTAATCCATGTTTCCTTTTCAATGAACCTTTTTAAACATATGAAATCAATCAGGCATACATTTTGTATCTTTTAGTTCCAGGTGAAAATGTTTTTTTTTCCAGATTTCTTCACAAAATACATCTATTTACCGACACATTAATTTCTAAAATCTTTATATACACATAGTTGTTTATAACTAGTAGACATTTATAATTATACTCATAAACAAAATTCTATCCCGGTTAATGTTTGTTGAAAGCTTCTCACAAAGTTTCCTCGTTTTATCTCGCGCTCTTGCAATTTCTAACAACCGCCTACTTTCGGTGTTTACATATACTTGATATCAATAGTTTAGCTAACAGAAACTCGTTTGTATCAAAGCTAAGACGCGTGCAGCTGTGAGAGAAAAGTTCATTCATCCAGCGCGTTCAAAGCACAACGTTTAAGTAGCCTTCAAATCAAGTTTTGTCAGCATATTATTTAAATTTATTACGAGATAAGAGTGAATAGTTTTTATTAAAAGTATTATCAGTTTAATCTTGTTTATATATTGATATCGTGCTGATAATGGTATAAATGAAAAACCTCAATTTAATTTCTTCGCATGTTCTTTTGTTGTTGTTTTTGTTGTCCAGCACAAAAAATGTCCATGTTATGAAACTTTTGATTAAAAAAAATATTTTAAATGTCCAAGTGCCAATACTTCGCAATATTTAAACGTGGCATTGGATATTGAATCGTACGAAACATTTAATTAAAATCGAACAAGATTTACTTTGTATCGACACTATATCACGGAATGTATGCGATATATTCAAACAATGATTAAGCTCTCTGTGACAGAAATTTAATAAAATGTTCCATTCCAGCTTTGTTGTCACTGTATGATTTCCGATATTTTACACCATCGTGTGTTTCATTCCAATACTGAAATGTTATTATCAATGGAACGCTTAATCTTATATTTCCAGGACTTTATATTATGACATTTTGCTTCAGGAGAGATTCCATCGCTGCCGCTCATTACTTGGCGACAAATACTGTTTTCTGATATTTGCTAGAAACTTTCAAGCGTGCAAAGCTTTGGTTCAATATAATAAGCTCATGTTATATGAAAGAAGTGTATGGTATATTAACTCCATAATTATCTTTGTCATTGTTCCCTACAGGCTATTATAGACTTCATTATTTACCTAAGTCTACTCTGTATTGACAAGACAGTATGTCCCACAACAATACCTTGGCGCAAATAGAGTAAATAGGGCGTTTATTGGTAATCTCTATCTAATAACATTTATTTAGTATATCTTCAATTTGTATACTTATGCTAACACACGAGTATAAATGCGTTTTAACTTAGTAATAACAATACTTTTGCTATATCATACGACTGAACATGTCATACTTGTTTTTCTGTTAATCCGTAAAATGAAACAAAATGTGAAAATTACACACACGTTCTACTACATTTTCTTGTGCAGGTGTTTAAAGGTCTGGGAAATGAGGACTAAATCTGATATATGTCTGATGTACGTTGATATAATTAAATAAGTAATAGAGACCTGGTTAACCTTTATGTACCAATTCCGGGAAAGTTAAATGTAAGTTAAATAAATGATACATTAATAGGCAAGAAAATAATTAAAATAATGCAATAATACAATATTGTCGTTTATATTTAGTATGTTATATGTCGGTATTATCAGGCATTTGTATCCACATTTTTTTCGAGTTTTATATCAGAATGACCCAAACAGTTTTTTGTGCATATCTTCAATTGACAATAATAACAGTAAAAGTAAAAACATAACTCACCCAGTGGAATTGAAAATAGTGACTGAGAAAGCTGTAAATGTCATATGTGTAATAGCAAACAGGAAGTCCGGTGTGTATTGACAGAATTGCATTAATTATTCATTCACAATAGTCAGTATGTCATTTATTATTCATATTATCAGATAATGGTGCTACATATTCATGTGATAGTGATTGTATGTAGATTGTAGAACTTTTTGTCATACGGTCATATACAGTTTGTGGTGTAACATTTTTCTCAATTATCATCACACGAGTTATCTATTATGTAAAGTTTAGCTAAATATCGTAGATGGCCTCTTCTGTCTTTCATTCTGGACATGACCGTTCAATTTACTAGAGAAATTTTTTAAATATTAACTGACTTAAAAGCAAACTGTGCAGGCCTCAATAAGGTATATAAATTATGAAATAAAATAAAAAAAATGGTGATTATTAAATATAATATCATTCGACGCGTTACTCTATGCAACACAATTACAAGATACAGTATACACAAATTTAAAAGGTCTTAAGTGCTATAAAGGTGACGTACATATACGGTTAAATGTAAAAAAATAATACATTTATATGCAATAAAGTGATAATAAAATTTATAAAACAAAATTGTTGTATCTATAGTCTACATCAATATATATATTCAATAAATATATAATGTTTCAATCATTATCATTATTATGAAACACATGTAAATCTTCCAATTACTGTTTCGACCATTTCAAAACAGAATGTGTGGTGGATCTGCAAATAAAATGCTGTAAACTACGGTATTACATTGTAGCTTGCTATAAATAAAAATTGTACCCTTATAATGAAAACACTGCAACAATTGAAAAATAAGAACTCAAACTAAAATCAGAGCCATTTGGCAAGCATTGTGCTGGAATTAAATGCTTATTGATGATATAACTTATTAGCAGATTTTTATGCAAAATTAAACAAGATAAGAACGCACAAAGACGTGCAATTACAAAAACAATTTGATCGTGATTTCGTTTCCAATATTGATATACAGCACATTATGTTTTAATACTTCAAGTTATGAGTTTTGGTCTGTTTTACGGCGGCCGCGGACCAACACAATTTAGGTCATATGGCTCCGAAACAGAAAGAATAATGGTTCTGGCTAACCTAGGGTGTTGCACCTGAAAAACAATATCGGGGTCAAAACCACCTTACACGCTGGAGCTAAGAGATCTAAAACGCCAATAATTCGTATAAAAACAAAAATGTTGAATCAATAAATATATAAGATTTTTTACTTAAGTTAATGAAATATCAATGACAAAGAGGTTTCGAAATATATTTTTATAATAAAAAGGTCTGAAGAATAAATTTTATTATAGTACAAGTATAATTATTTATTACTGTAAATGTTTCACCCTCTCTAAAGGTGTTGAATCTTGGTTATTTCATTGTCCAGATAAATAGTCAACTTATAAAGAAGCCAGCGATACCTCAAACAAAGCGAAATATATGGAAACTGTCACAATCACAGTTGGATTGAGGCTGATATTTGGAGATAAATGCATGTTTCCACCAATACCATCTAACGCCGCCTGAATCAAAGTTTAATTTTCAGAGATGAAGCTGCAATTTTAAAAGAGTTTAGAAACATCTGCACAATTTCCTATACTCAGTGATTATGGACTATTTCTAATCGTTTTTTAAGGCTTTTGGTGTATTTTTTATGCTTTTTATTCAAGGTGTATAGGTTTTTAATCAGAGTATATTTCTGCATTTGTACTCTTTGGACTCTTTTGTTCGCGATAATGACATATTGTATAAAACGCATATCTCGAGGGCTATATTAACATTACATTTTCTAATCATTAATTTTTTGAATGAATCTCACGTGGTAACCTGATATGGATATTGCAATTACAAAGATAATTTAAGTTGGAATTTAATAAAAAAAAACGTCCATATATTTGTAACTGATACGAGAAACGTGTTAAGACACTAATGCAATGTAATGTGAATCTAAATGGAAACTTAATCAGGCAGTGAGACTTGTTGAAACTGAGGGTTTGAGTTTTCAACAGAAAGCAACAATAATAATAATAATATAATTATAATTATTAAATGATTGTCTGGGCATTATTTATTCTGATACTACTTACTGTAATTCTATGAATTATTTATGGAAATGTGTGAACTTTTTATGTTATTGTGGATATTGCAATAGTTTAATTTCACATAGCATATTTGATAAATTTTGCTTTAAGGTACTTATAAGTTTTGTTCAATGTATACCGGTATGTGAAGTTATAACTATCGCGTGATATTTAAACAAATATTTTGCTACTTCTCTTATTAGAAATAAACATTTTCGGTTGAATCAATTCTTCCAATAGTAATATCTATTTATTCCGAATTTCATTTAAACAATATGTAAAAAAAAATCAAACTCAAAAATAGCAGGGTCAAACTTTGATGGACCATCTTATTCACACAATGTAACATTGTCTCAGATACAACTTGTTTTATAACCCTTAAATTAGTATAAAGATATATTACATGCGGGCAATACTATCACTATTATAGTTTTTTAACAGTACGAATACAGCTAATATTGTTTTTATCTTTTTCCCCACAAGGGAGATGCATCTTGTTTCTTGCTGAGAGGATTATAATCGTTGTGTCGTCTTGTTAGTGAAGACTTCACGTGTCATGTATCCTCGCCATAATTACAGATTGCATTCCATGCGGGGTCATTTCTATCTAAAGAACCAACATGAATCAAAAATTGTTATTCTTAAACACTTGCGCGAACATGGAACTCCCCTATTATTTATAAAAAATGTTACCAAAGTAAGAAATTTAACAAAAACATTATGTTTCTAATTTCTGAAGAACAGCACGGATAAACACTAACATATACTTAGAATAAAACATATTTTGGAAAGAATTTGAAACATTTTAGAGGAAGTGTTCATACGACACTGAGCATAGACGCTCTTCGGTGTTGTTATATTTTTCTAGTCCATCGGGATCATTGATTCCAGCACTATTAATTGTTGAGAATTGAGTACCGCTTAAGTCGATGCTAGGGGCGTGAAGGATGTTGCACTTATTCATTATCCCTCATGTATAGACTCAACTAAACCGATTCTGCAATTTCCATGTAATTTTGTTGTGATTAATGCTTCCGTTGGATCACTTTGTTTCCAGGTTTTCAGACTTCACAACGCCGTGTAGTAGCTGTTAAAGAGTTGCCCTGTAATTCACTTCAGTGGTGTTATATATTTCTGGTCATTCGTGATCATTGA